TCAGGTACAATGATATCTTTAACTTAATCATCAAATGATATCAGTTCAACTGAATTGGTGTTGATCAATTTAAGCAGAATCAGAAATTTAGAAATGCTTAACTTAGTGGAAGAATGGGTAATCTAAGGATACATAAAATATTACTCCATACCTAGATAAAAGCCATAGTGAAAATATTTGTACAACTGTAAATCCATTATGTATAATTTCATTTTGAACCTAATAAAATTTATACCTCATTTATGGACAGTACAATCTCACAAATATTATATATTCATATTAAATACATAAATAGCCACATTCTGGTATCTGTATACTAATCCAAGCTTTCAGCATATTGATTTACATACACTTATCTGTAATAATCATTAATCGAGTGCTTTAACATGGTTAATTAACCATACAGTCTTATCTCTAACTGCAATAAATGGTTTACAACTATAACATGTACACAGGGTAGTTATAAAGTCTTGTAATATATTAAGAGAGCTACTGCATGAGAACGGCATGTCTCACAAGGTCTATAGTTGCAAGGCATGCTCCTCACAACATAGGAAACACAATGAAGCAAAAATGCTATTTTCCACCAGAGAGTACTGTGCCATTACAAATGCTTAATATACAAGGAATGATTTTACATACTAACAAATATGACATGTCCTGTAATGTTACATACAACTTTACAACCAAGTACATACTTCAGAATCAGCAGTCTCATGATAAGCTAATTTGTTCATATGGGGCCTGGGATGGCCAAGTGATTAGGGTGCTTGACTCGCAATATGAGGGTAATGTGTTCGAATCCCCATTCCACCAAACATGTTCACCCATGGGGGCATTATAATGTGACAGTCAATTCCACTATTCATTGGTAAAAGAGCAGCCCAAGAGTTGGCAGTGGGTGGTGATGACTAACTGCTTTCCCTCTAATCTTTTGTTTCTAAATTAAGAACAGCTAGTGCAGTCTAGCTCTCGTGTAGCTTTGTGCAAAATTCAAATAAACTCTTCATGTAATCAACCAGAAATGTTATTGTCAGTATCTTCTTAAATAGAGTAACAACATGTGGTGTTTTACCATTCTGCATAAACACTATATCACTTAACATGTTATATTCTCGAAGATGTGGAATAATATGTTCTTGCAGAAGAGCACAGTAATATTCACCATATATAGAACATGTGTGTAGCTCATTGGGACCACCTGCATCAAAAAACAATAGTCTAATAATGGATGAGACAGTAAACTCATACCATGCAGTCCACTTTAATGAGTGTAAGTACCTTTTGTGGCACTCACATGGATTTGTAGTTGTTTAAATGTGGCAGTTATGCATATTAACAGGTCTATAAGTATAAAGTATGCTTCATTAGTTCACAACACATTGAGCAAAAAACTGGTTTCAAGTTAAACACAGGCAATTAAAAAAACAGCAATATCAAGGACAGCTTGTTTTCATTTTATTTCAACTCATGCAACAGTTTGATCTTCTATTGGAATCAATGAAACTCGATTTGCAGAGCTTTGCGAACAGTGTTCTGTAGGATGCCTGTGAAATGAGACTTGATGGCCACTTGTGAATTGCTTGAGGTTACCTCATCTGTTATATGTGCCATTTCAGCTGTTGAAGTAAAGTTTCTCAATATGTGAGAGAAACAGATGTTCTCCATACTCAAATAAAATATTTCACCCTAAATTTGTTTCACAAAACGTTCTTAATGAAGAGTTCTTCAATATGTAAGAGAAACAAAAGATCTCTCTACCCAAATATACTATGTCACCCCAAATTTCTATGTTTCGGAAAACATTCTCAATGAAATGGGGTACTTAAATATGTGAAAGAAACAGAAGATCTCATACTCAAATAAAATAAGTAACCCCAAATATTTTCCACACTCTGTTCTTTATGTAGTAGAGTTATTTAATATGTGTGGGAAACAAAAGATAACCTTACCCAAATAAAATATGTCACTTTTAATTTGTATGTTTCACAAAACATTGTCATTGAAATGGATTTTTTTAACATGCAGTTTATGTTCAGTATGCAGTGCATAATATGAATGTATAATTTAATCTATCACACCAAATATATGTCTTGAAAAGAATTTTATATAAATCACTGAATAAGCAATATGAAAAGAGAAACTGTATTATTATAGCAAGGGCAAGTAGTCCTATGGATACCACTCAAAAAACTGCAAGTGGGGGTGTTGCACTTCCATGATTTTCTAATTTGGAAGTTATTTCAAAGTTCCATCTTCTCAATATCAATATTTTGTGGAGTGTACTCACTGATTAACAGATGATTCTACTATACAGAAGGAAATTTAAAAAAATATATAGTAACTGTAAGAAAATCAACAATATAAGGTCCACTGCAACTCCACAAAACTTATGTATTTGTGTACATATGTTAAAATAACAACTTAATTTCAGAAAAACAAAAGAACTACAATGTATATTGTATAACTTACCTTCATAAACCCAGTCAGGAATTCCATTATAAATTTCCCCTTCTTTGCCATCATTGGTTATTTGTATCCAGTCAGCTCCCACATTTGGTACATAATAAATGTTGTTATTCTTAACAAATACCTATAAGCAAAATTCTAAATTAAAAGAAAAAATAAACAATCGCATCAAACACTAAATAATATTAGTAAGGTTACATTTATATTTTTGCTACTATCATAATGATAATGCAAGCTGCAGTGATCAGCAGCTATCACAAAAAATAAATTGGCAAATGACAAAATCAGAATTATGTTCATAGCTTAAAGCTACACAACAGGCTATCTGTGCTGTGCCCACCATGGGTATCTAAAGCTGGGTTTTAGTGTTATAAGCCTACAGACTTATCACTATGCCAATTGGGGGATACATTATGTTCATAGATATTATATGCAAATATGTAAAGGTCAGTACATTTTTTTTTTACTAAAAACGGCAATTCTCTATCACGTGTCAAATGACTGATTCAGTGACAAACTCTGTAAATCTACATATACTTTCATTAGTGATGGAGAAGGAGCATTCCTGCAAGTTATTGCAAGTTTAATTAAAATACTTCATAATATTCCATTAAAAATGTGGATAGAAGCAAGATGTGTAAGTGCAAGTATAATAAAAAAGTCACACTTCAGTGGAAATTGATCTCCCAACATTTAATAAACCTAACCAGTTGCATGTGTACCATAGTTCCATAACTACATAATTATTCCAGTTGTTTTAAAAACGGCACAGAATAACTCAAAATCCTCAGTTCTGTTCATTTAAATAGAGGATATCTCCAGTTCCATTGGTCATTTGATAAGTTACTGTCTAAAACATATCACATAGCAAACATAAAAAAACACAGCATGGAATCATTAAGAATATCACAAATGCTTAGAAACAGAGGAACAGGTTATAAGCATGGACTGATGCAGAGAATGATAATAAATGATATCATAATATTAAATTCAAATTTTTCTCTGAATACCACAACAATGAAAGAAAGTTGTAATTATCTTTCTACTCACAAATAAAAACAAACAGGCATGTACGGCTACATAAAAATTTATCACCCATAAATGCAGAACTGTAAAAGCTACTGGTAAAAACTGTGTCAAGTTATTTTGGTCAAATTACAAAATATTCTGGTTCTCAATGAGCAACAGTAAAACCATGATCTACTGAAGACTGCAGTTTGAAGCTATCACATCAGCTCAGTCACAGGATTAGAACCAAATCAGTTTGGTGTGATAAAGAGAATCTGTAACTGCTGGTCACTCTTGATCTGACTCAAATACTCAGAAAGTAGAATTCTATTTTTATGTTGCCTATTATCTCAAATGTTTAGTTTCCTTTCAATCTTACATCAAAAGAGATTCATAAAAGACAATATATTCATTTTATTATTACTATATTGCATTAAAATCAAGTTGTAACATGGTGTTGTATAAAATACTTATTAAATCTCCTACAAACGAACATCTGTTACTAACCAAAACATGTAGAAGCCTTTAGGTACAGCCTGGTACCTTCAGTAAAGCTTCCTTTAAAATATCTATGTTCTGTAACCTTTAACATTGTACTTTTGAGACCTTAATAACTATACTGCATTATATATTCTTGAAGAATAGTTGCCTCGTGGTGTTCACATTCTCTCCCAAAACTTTTTCCTTGATTTTCCAGACAAAATTTCATAATTTCCAGATCTGCATACACACACATGTATAATATACTGATGTTTCAAATTCTCCTCATAATTCAATCTAATTATTAACATATTTTAGCTTCCAATCTGGTTATAAATAATAATAAAAAACCCAGAATACACTTGCTCTAACTTTATACACAATAAAATGTTGTATTTTTATTTTTAGATGTATATTTGATTTAACCTATCATTAAATATAATGAATTATGTAATTAACACCAGATAAAATATCAGAGAGCAACTGCATGCTCAAGATTAAGTAAAAATATACCAATAACTGGCATACCAAAGTATCATAGTTTGCATTTGTATACATATGTGCAGGTTCTAAGATATAAAAAGAAAAGTGGTGGACACAATTTTCCTGACTTTTCCAATTTGTGGATAATTTTAATTTACCACGACTTTTATATTTTTATAGTCATCTGGCTTCAGAATTTTTAAGTTACAGGCTAATCATATCATAAGCTTGCATGGCACTTATGCTTTACCACACATTAACATAAAATCTAATCACATCACATATAATGTGTGGGCATATCATATGATTTGTCCCTTCTATAGCAATGTAGAAATTTTCAAAATTTTTGATTACTTAGTTTTTACATTATCATGACAGCACCACATGATCAATACTAACTTGTTCTAGCTGCTTAATTTCTTTGTTCTCTTTAAAATGTGATGTATTTTGTGCCTGCAAGAATATTTCAGTATTTTATGAAACATTCAGTTAAACGAATTGTAACTGGAATACCTTCTGCTGGCTGGTTATGACAATGAATAAAAGTGACAGCTGACCAACACTGTCAGGGAAAAAAAGGTCATGACGTGATGTCATCCACTGGACAAAGAAAGCAAGTTTACATTTGAGCATATTTTCTTAGCTCAGTTATCTACCAGATGATCTAAGAGGAGGACCTACTTTTTGGAAATCGGTGTTAGTTCAATAACAATTAATCTCAAGAGAAAGAAGGTTGCAGGCTAGACACAATTTAGTGGAAAGGAACTGTCCAGATGTCTGTGTAGGTATGTGTACTGCTTTTTCTGTTTTATTTGTGAAACAATGATATCTTCAGTCTTTTAAAGTTGTACAGACTTTATATTCCACACTAAAAAGAAACCCAGTCCACTTATCTTATACAACAACTATCCTTACTTACTGGGTGAACCTGCTGTTACCTGCAGGTCTGTCTATCTCCAGTGGCAGTAATAAATAAAAGGGTAAAAAAGAAAAAAGAAAAATACACAAACAGGTAAAAAAGTTATATATATATATATAGATGTACAAAGAAAACTAATTATAAGAAAGGATAAAGAGAACAGTAGGATGTCTAATAGCAGGTGTTGAACAATAACAGGAAACCTATAAGGTTTAATAGCAAGTGTTGAACAATAATGGGGAGCCATTGATTAGAAAACTATATTAGTAACAGCTTAATTATTAACTCAGTTGGTCTACATGGTTTCAATAACTGGCTTATGCTTGGCTTAGCTGTTATTGGTAATGTTATCCAAAATACTTTTTTCTTTGCATTTTCCCCCCCCATTATCTTTGTTTCTGTTGTCTTTTTTATCCTTGTCTTTCTTACCTAGATTCGTCTATCTCATACTTGTAGGGAAATTGGGTTACCTGAGAATACTACACCTATATAAAAAAAACTATTTCTTTGAATGTTATGTGATACTGTTCATTATTTGGTATACAGTTTTGTTGGGGATTTCAGTCTGACAATGCCTCCCCAGTGGCACAGCAGTATGTCTGTGGACTTACAATACTAGAAACCGAGTTTTGATATCCGTGGTGGCCAGAGCACAGATAGCCCATCGTGTAGCTTTGTGCTTAACTTTAAACAAAACAAAAACAGTCTGAAAAAAACATTTTTATTGTATTCACTACAAACAAAAACAAAAAACCTTTGATGAACTTAACTGGTTGACTGATTGGCATGTAGGTGTTAAGAAACTCATTAGTTCTAAGGTTAGTTAAACAGACATTTAAAATAAATGAGGTATAAATATTTCAGATTAAGATAAATAATGTTTTCTTTTTTACTCTAGATTTAAAAATTCACTATAACATGAAAATTGTGTTGGTTACCTACAACATTAGAATTAAGTTTATTAAACATTATATGAGAATATCATCACTTAATTACCCATTATCAGCACCAAAACATGAAAACCAAAACGAAATTTCCTTTTTTAAGTGCTGACTTACCAGTTGATTATTAACTGGTCCCCATCCTGCATAGAGAAGTTCTTCATCATTCTCAAGGGGGAATACTCGTCTAAGAAAGAAAAAAAAATATCTGTCTGTGTGTGTGATTAAACAATTAAGAATGGGATAAAATTCAATAAATATGAACCAAGATTGATAAATGATAGTGAATGTGTAAACGTCTGCATAGAATTTCGGTTTTAAAGGGGTGATTTTGTAATTAAGATATTACTTAAAATATAACAGTTGTTCAAAAGGCCATGACTCAACTTCATTTTCATTTTTTACTATCTCATATGGCTTAAAATGTACTAACCTTTTGTGTACAGAATGTTGGAATATAATATTATAATAATTCATTATTATAAGCGCAAACACTGTTCTTCAATTTTACCCGAAGTTTTGTATCATTATGGAATAGATCTTTTCACTCTTCCACACTGTGCATACATGAAGTTACTTGTTTCCTGTATCTTTCATCAAGTAAGATAAAAGTGACAGTTTTCTATAACAGTGAAAATGAATTTTACTTTTGTTGGAGAGGACTTAATTAGTACAATTGAAAATCTTCCACTATTTACCTTTGGTATCATAGTAAACTATATAGTTTGTTGTAAAAGATCCTCAGATGGATTGAAAAGGCTGGCTTTTTGCCAACTTAAATCTTATAACACCAAAAATTATCTAATCAGTTGTCAAAATTTATGGTCAATAGTTGTTTTTATTGTGTTTTTTTTTTAATTCATATGAATTTCCTGTACAGTCATCCTAGTATCGATACAGCTATGCTGTGATGGGTGGCATTTCTGAGCCAATTAAATACATACTCGTTTGATCTTCCTTGATCTTTGCCAACCATTTTCAATAAAGATCTATATTTGTTGACATTGATGATATATATAACATAACGTTTTGGTACAACATGGAACCTATTGGTCCATCTCGGCTGTTCCATCCTCTAAACTAAACTAAATCTATTAATGAATAAATAAATAAAAAAATCTTAAAGCCAGCCCTTATCATTCATATACTTATCAAGCTTTCTCTTAAACTCACTTAAATTTACTGCCTCCACAGCATCCAAAGGCAATCGATTCCAAAGGCCAACCACCCTGTTTGAAAAATAAAACTGTCCTAGCTGAACATGACTCCTACCCTGCCAAAATTCATACTCGTGCTCCCTAGTCCTACTATTCTTACTGTTAAGTATGACAAAAGATGATCCATCAACACTATCAATTCCCTTTACAATCTTAGACACCTCAATTAGATCCTTCTTTTTTCAAGAGAAAACAATTTGAGAGATTTCAACCTTTCCTCGTATGACAACCCCTCCATCCCAGTAACCCTTCTCTGAACCCTTTCCAAAAATTCAATGTCCTTTCTAAGGTAAGGAGTCCAAGACTGAACACAGAATTCCCAATGTGGCCTAACTAGTGACCTACACAATAAAATTATAACCTCTTTAGATTTTTTCAATACTTCTGTAGATGAAACCTAAAATCCTATTTACCCTACCACTAGCAACAGCACTTTGCTCGGATGGCTTGAGAGACTAATCAACTATTACACCAAGATCCCTTTCTTTCATGACACTGTTAAGGTTATTCCCATCCAAATTATATATTTAATTCAAATTATAATAACCCACATGCATTATTTTGTATTTATTATAAATAAAACCCAACCTAAATGATCTAAACCCTGCTGTAAATCAGCAGCATCCTCTTCACAGCTAGCAACACCCAAGACCTTAATATAATTTGTAAATTTAAGTAATTTATTGATCATTCTTTCATCTATGTCACTGATGTAAATCAAAAAACAACAAACGTCCTGAATGAGCCCTGAGGTACCCCACTTGTTGCATTAATCCAGTTTGACTGAACTCCATTTGTAACAACCCTCTGCTTTCTTCCATACAACCACTTTTCTATCCAATTTGCTAACTTGTCCCCCTCACCTATAGAGAGAATTATTTTTACAAGCCCTTTATGTGGCTCCATGTCAAATGCTTTCTGAAAATCCAGATACACCAAATCTACACTCTTACCCTCATCTACATAAGCAGTAACCTTTTCAAACAATGTCAAAAGATTTGTAAGGCAAGATTTTCCCTTAGTGAAACCATGTTGACTATCCAATAAAATTCTAAACTTTGTTAAATGACTTTACAAAGCATCTTTTATCAGATTTTCCAAAACCTTATCCACAACTGATGTAAGACTAATGGGACTATAATTACTGGAACAATTTTTATCACCTCCCTTGAAAAGTGGAGTTACATTAGCTAACTTCCAGTCCTCTGGTACCTGCTCACTATTCAAGGACTGGCAAAAAATACAAGCAAGTGGCTCACATATCCAATCTTTAAGCTCCTTCAAAACTCTTGGGGAAATATTATTTGTCCCAGGAGTCTTATCATTCTTTAATCTTCCCAATTTTTTCTTAACCAGCTCAGAATTAATGCAGTCATCTGTTCGATCTTGTTTCCATCAATCATCTATACGAAGAAACTATTTCTGCTTTACTGTTCAAATGATTTGAACATCCCTAACCATAAGAATATGACTTATATAACCGATTAAAAACACTTTGTAGGGTGACTGAGTTTATTACAGGTTATTTTCATTTACTAAACTTTTCTTTTTACAAAGGCAGATTTCAATTATTTTTTTTCATAAAATACATTGAATAAACTAATTTCAATAGTAGTAACTGTTTTGAGGTGCTGTACTCAGAAGTCTTTGTTATGTATTTCCAACCCTCAGAAATGTATGTGGCTACTGACACAGAAAATTAATTTAACACCAGAGGACTGAAGAAGTTTCGCAGTCCCACCGGGGGATAGAACTTAAGACACAAATAATTGTTCCTACTTTTATATATACGAAAACAGTTAAAGTCAAACGAAAGAAGTATGATTTTTTTTTAACGAAACCTATAAAAACTTTGATATTGTTTATTTAAAAATAAACCTGGCTTTGAGAGAATCGTTTATTTTGTAACGAGGCGTTGAAAGATTGACCGGTGTGTCATGTCTGTAATTATTAAGTCTGTTACCGTTTCAAGTGAGAATTGGGAGTTTAGGTCAGTTGATGCTTTTTATATACTTTTATAGTGATAATTAATATATGATATTGCACATGAATAGCCTTATTCTGACATTGTCTTTTTTATGCTTTTCGTTAGAAACTATTTTCGTACATTTATGATAGAAGTATTTTTCCTTTTTCTTTAACATATATATAACTAAACATCGTGTTCTTATTTCAGATCTACAGACATTCCTATAAGGCCAAGTACAAGATTTTTGATTTAGCAAACGAGTAAGTTGACGTATTCACAAAATGGCACGTTTTAACATTTAATTACTTGTCTGAAATTGGTAAGCTTGGAAAACTTAAGAGGGAAATATCCTTTCTTCACAGAAGTACAATGTTTCAAGTTCACATGTGGTTAATGTTACATTTTTCAAGTCTAAAACAAAGATTGTATAGTGTGCCCTACATTTGCGCCTTTGACAGAGAACAGTTGGTCGATTCAGTAAGCAGAAGGCTTGTTGCCACAAGGAAGCGGGATGACACAGATCAAAAACGGAAATACAGTGTACTCAACTATAGACAGTTTTGTTCAATCATAAAAGCTTATGATCCATGAACAAAAACTTTAAAATAGCTGACATTGTAGAGATTATTTTAGACTTATAGTTTGTTTTTCAGGTCAATAACAGGAATTTATAGACCAAAGTTGTAGCAGCGTAGCGAGATAAAAATTACCTTATGTGTTGTAATTAGTTGATTATAAGTGTCTAATTTGTTTTGTATTCAGGGGCGTCGAGAAACAGCCCAGGCCCCGGAGTCAGTAATGTCATCGGGCCTCCCTTTCATTCTACTTATTAACTTTTGCTGATTTTCATAAATGTTGTTTTTTTTTTGTTTTTTGAATTTCGTGCAAAGCTACACGAGGGCTATTGCGCTAGACGTCCCTAATTTAGCAGTGTAAGACTAGAGGGAAGGCAGCTAGTCATCACCACTCACCGCCAACTCTTGGGCTACTCTTTTACCAACGAATAGTGGGATTGACCGTCACATTATAACGCCTCCACGGCTGAATGGGCGTGACGGGGATTCGGACCCGCGAGATTGCGAGTCGAGCGCCTTAACCACCTGGCCATGCCGGGCCGATTTTCATAAAAGAAATTTAGATGACAAATTTTTTCATGAATCCATGAAAAAGCAGTAGACACTTTAGCTTATTAAGTAGTATGCATTTCTAGTGAGCTTTGTAATATCCTACTGCTGGATACCGGGGCAGCTGCCCCTCCTCTCGTCAGCCGTTTGTATTATCATGTACTGTAATTCGACTAATTAGATAAAAGAAAAGAACCACATGATGATTTATGTAAATATTTTATACCAACAGAAATGTCTGTAACTTTAAAATAAGAAAAATGAAATGGCTATATAATGTATTAACAGAGAAAGGAGAAGATGGCAAATCAAACCAAACTGGGTTTTAATTAATTACAATGAAATAACGTAACTAAATCTAAGCTTAAAATAAATCAATTTAAATAAAGTTAAAAAGAGAAAACGGAAACATAATCAAACGTCGACTGATAGAACGAATGAAGGATGATACTCAGCAGCTCTCTAAGGCTCACATCCGGGACAGTTGTGCCATATAAATGCGTTATAGCTTATATTCATAATCTCCTTTGTTTACTAATGTGTTACTTTAACTTGGAATGAACAATGCTATAGACCAAGTACTAAACTGCTATTGCTTCACGGCTTACGTAGGCTTACATGTGAAAATAATTTCAGAAACAATCCTTCACTCTCTCTCTCTCAAAAGAAAAAAAAAATCCTGTCAACGCCCATGACGATTATTTTATTACTAACACATACCCGCAAAAGATTTGCGGCCAAGTTAGTATTTTTATTTCAACAGTACTTCTTTAAATACAGGATTTCTAGAATAATACAAAATAATTCTAATCGCAGACATCGAGATCTAGTGTTTTAGGTCTAACATTAGTTTAGTCTTTATTAAGTAAGACTTACA